AACTTACGGTCGACAACTTCCGTCATCATTCCGTCTTCATTTAACCATGAAAATTAAAAAACAAACTGCTCAAGGTGCTGTGTTTAATGAATAAACGACAGCCAAGTTACAGGGAAAAATTAAGATTGATCGGGTTGACTGGCTTCCACTCAACGCATTATAAAAATTATCAAAGTAAGCTCGTAGTTTTTCACTCGAAAAGCGTACGATCTAATTTCCAAGGCTTGCTTCACTGTGATGACCGGAAATCGCCATGATGAGCTAGCTGCAATGGACCTCAGCGGGATCACAGTCGTTCGTACACTCTGATTTGCGAACTTTTTAACAGTTATGCCAGTTTTGTTGCGTTTTTCGTCATTCACGAAATTATAAATACTATACGAGTGTTAGGCGTGCTTAAGTTTTATTACTTAAGCTTACGACAAATTGAGTTTGAAAACCTTCAAAACTCGAATAATCCATTTCGTTTTCTTTTTGTTTATTTTAGTTGGTCTCTGCTCACGATATAATTTCGTAAGTTTCGGCGCTTGGTATGTTTACAAACCCTAGTTTGTTTGGTGCTTCTGTTGCTACTTGCCAACTCGCTAATTCCTAAATTTTACTTTCTATTTCAGTGTAATTTGCACTGTTATCTACAGGCTGTTCTGTATCAATTGATCCCAAGAGTTTGTTGTTTGTGGTTTGTTTGTTTGTTTTTTTTTGGACAAAAGTTAGAGAGGGTTCCGGAGATCGTCGTACAAATTGGCAGATGGCGTGACAGATTTTGTTCCGCTCCGTGTTTTGTACCGCGTTGTATCAAGCTCTTTCAACCAATAAGAGAAAAATGAAAAGGAACTTCTGACCAAAAATTTGTCTATGTTTTTTTCCCCTTTAAATGAGAAAACGAGAAATTTCGATTGACCGCGTAAAAGTAGCTAATCACACCAACCGATCAACTTCTTTAAATTAGTTTAATGGCTAACTTGGCCCATAGTCGGAAAGTAACGGATACTGTCTGCTTCAAGCGTATTTCTTTTCACTGGTTATTTAAGTTGATTTCTCATTGAAGTCCAAATCATCACATATGCGCATACTAAGGGAATTTAATATACAATTAAAATATTCAGAGATAATACTTCTGAAAAGTGTGATGATCAAAATCGCTTTTATGTCTTTGTTTCAGACGTGACTGTCGCTGAAATAGAGATTCTGAGTGCGGCTGAAACGAAAAAACTAGTGCGAGATGTCTATGTTTTCGCAGAAGGAGTTAATACTATGCTCCTCGAAGTGAGGAAAACGGTAAGACACCTACGTGCATTAGCTGATCACCTAGATAAAGTATGGAGAAGTTGTAAGACTGCTTCAACCTCAATCGCACGCAGTTGTATGACCGTGGCAGGAGAAGTTGCCACTGCCATGACAGCTGGTGCTGCTTTGCCATTTCTGATTGCAGGAACAGCACTGGTGCCTGCGTTGATCTGGGCGCAAGAAATATTGAATCCACTTCCAACTCATCGCTGACCCAGGAAGCAGATGCTGCCCTTAAAAAAGTTTTCGGGAAAATAGCTAAAGTTAAGAAACAAATTTAGATGTTAAAAGGTGGTAAAGACCAAACTCGATTGTTTTTTTGCTGCTAAACTTGCCGAAGATATGCTCGGTGTAAACCATCCGGCAGTGGCCTTAACTGAAGGTTGTATGCACCCGGATCTGCTGGCAAATTCAATGAGTAAGACTGCCATAAAAGCGGTGAGTGACTTAGCATTGATAGTTGGTGTCAAGGAGGCGACAACTGCAACCACCAGGGGATTGTTGAGACCACTTCTAGAAATGCCCTCATTCTTGGAGCCAAACACATTGCATCGGAAGCTGGATCCAAGAGTGGAGCTGTAGCAATCATAAAAGCTGGCTCTACATAGGATCCAGGGCTTCGCAAGGTTACAGCCAAATCAGCTGCAAAAGCCACAGCCTGATTATTGTACGGCCTTTCTGGTTTTAGATGCCATAGAACTGCATTCCACAGTCAGGGATATCATCGAGAACAAAGGCTCCGATGCATCCAGAAGCCTCAGAGAAAAAGCAGATGAACTGGAAGTACTCGTGTCTGCATGAATTTATGATTTTCATACCCTAAAAAAGCGAGCATACCCTGAAAAAAATAGCTTTTTGGTAACTTAAGAGATGAATTAGAAGTTGTTAGAGCAAAGCAGCAGCAAATTAGAAGAGGGATTCAAGACTCGTGTTATATGTAATTCCCGTTAGACGTGGTTTGTTCACCGCTATATCCCCATGCCAACGTAAGCAATGCTATTTCAGTTACATACAGTAGTAAATAAGATACGCTCACCTATTAAGACTAACAAGGCCTGTGATAAAGGATAGCTTACGATAGAAATAACTTTTGGTTTTCGGAAACGTTATGAAAACCCACTAAGTGATAATGTGAGTAAACAAACTTTCACAGGGTTGACGTCTGCCTTTTTATTAAATGATAAAAAAGTGATATTACAAAAGCCCAAATGGACAATCTTGGGAAATTTGGATTTATTTCTCAAGGTCGAATAGGTTTCCGAGTTATTATTTTTTTTTCATTCATTCCTGACTTGGGGTTAAACTAGCGGAACTTTATCTTATGAAATCTAAAATTCAGGCTTGCAGCAAGGACTTTTCAGAGGGTTGACACATTGACAAAAATAGAAACAACATACCATATGGTCGACATCTAAACTCTGTTTTGAGCAGTAGTGGCATTTTTGCTTTCTTCGCCGCTTAAATTAAAAGGTTTGTTTTTATGCAGAACTTTCGAAACAATATCAGATAGACGTGAATCTCTGACACCCTATGAGAGAAGTTATTAAGTTATTTTATCACATATTTCTTGATTACTCAAGCAAAACTTTACACTTCCCTCGTATCGACATTACCTAAATTCTTTCTGATTAAACTGCGACGAAAAAGGGACGATCTCTCTCCGAAATCGATTACTTGGAAGTCGAAGCATCCTCTCGCCATATATCTTCCTCTAGCAACTTGCAACGTTTGCCGGCCTTGGCGATCCCAGAAATCTTTTTGCAAACACAAGGATCCTATTACAGACTTGCTTCTTGTCCTGATATCTTACAATAACAAGTCGCTGGCCTGAAATCTCAAGATATTGTTCTCCTTCGATTAAGTCAGTCTTTCAAGTAGGGTAGTGTAGTGGTCTTGCGGTTTGTGCACAAAACCCGGCGAATACGAAACATAAACTAGAAACTGGAAGATTTAACTGACGGTCTGGGGTCATAAACACAGAAGAAGACTTTAACTGCCACGCTACTGCTAAGTTGCAATATGGCAATCCGAAAGGGCAAAAAGTTGATGGCAATTGGCAAGGCATAATGTCTTGTTTCGATTTTAGTTCTCTGTTAGGCTAAAACTCGTAGTCTATCGGAAATTGGAAATAAATGGATACCCTGTAGTGTAGGCGTCTTTTTCAGAGGCCGAGTTAGTGTTTAAAAGCTCGCAAAATTTAACTTAGTCGCCATGTTTGTGTAAAGGTCATTGAATATACCACCTTCTCGGTAAAATTTATTTCTGTGCACATCTGTACGTGCTCTAAAACTCCGGGATGGCGGCCTAGACTTGATTGCGAAAATACTTAATCCAGGCTCACCACAGATTCGTTAGTTCTGCAGGCTGGTGAAAGGTAACCACCGAAGAAATGATCAGTCGTGGAAAACTAACGATTGAAATTAAAGATCAAATTGTATCTGCATGATTTTCGTGAAAATTTCTCTAAAAATAGCCTCCTGATCGTATAAAACTAAGTCACACTTCGAAGTTCGAAACCGACATTTTGAGCAAAGAGCCCTCGGTCAAATCGCTACCAATCCTGTTTCCCTAATGATCATTAATTACGATTATTTTACGCAAACTAGATACTTCACACATGAAATAACGATAAGGTATATACCTAACTATATAATTTACCTACAATATTTTCGATCTCAGAGCTCACGCTTTCGGACGCGATCTTTTTGCATCTGTTTCAGTGAGAGTGATTTACTTAAGACCACTTCTCTTGAGTAAGCCCCGATATGCGCAAAATATCGAACATGTGTTTCGATTATTCATTTCAAAATTGGCGCAAAGTTCAAAGAGTACATGGCTTTGTACAAACGTAAGACATCTTCAGTTTATTCCTGGCTGGTTTTACTTTAATTTAGCTGTGTTCGAGGAGGATATGTGTCAGGGATGAAATAAACATTCTTTTTGATTTCTTGAATCTTCAGATAAGTAATTTCTGATTTGTTCTGCTCAAAGTTAATTTGTGTTTTCCTCTTGCTTAAATATAGAATATGAAATTTCATTTTCGTCTTGTCATGATGTTTAAAGATGAGTTTGGATCACTAATGGGGGATTTCCGTTTTGATAATGAGATGTTTTAATGCGAAGGCCTCATTTAGCATATGATATAACGCTAAAAATTAACTTAAGGTGTAGCCACGTGAAAGAAATGGAAAGATTCGTTCGCTTTTAGTGAAATCTTCTCTTTATTTGTTGTCTATTTTTTCTAACCCTTTAATGAAAGGGAAAAGCCACAACCGCAATGGTCAAGTACGAAAAGCAATAGTTTCCATCGACAAACAAAGTTTCTCTCAATAAAAGCGTACATCAATCTCACTCTATATCCAGCAGGACCATCAAGTCCTTAGAAATGTTTGGATATCTTCTTGAAAAGAGTGCCGACTATTTTTATTGCGCACTGTAGAACAATGTTTTTATCTCTGGTAATTATTTTATGGCTGTAGGCGAAGGATCGAAATTGTTTGGGCTTGAGGAAAGATTATGGATCGGAGATACCAAATTAAACCACATGGTTCTACCCTGTCAATATCAAAAAATATCGATTTTATTGCTAATACAACGTTATTATTTGTCTTCTTAGCAGAATATTTTCTTTTTTAAGGATACGAACCTTTTGCCTTTTTTTTCCCATCAAAGATGAAAGAAGCATTTCTGAACTAATTCGCAATTTGGCCAAACTTTTCCTTCTCATAGCTAAAATCCGCAAAAGTGAAAACTTTCTTTGAAAAGATCATGCCAGTCTTATTAATCATTTATACTTGCACAATTTAAACTGAACATTTAACCCTACTTTTATCCGATGTCTCAAACGTCTGTGTTCTCTAACATCCAAGTATACGGCAAGAATAAGGAGACCGTCACAGGATTTTAAAAGTACATATGTTATGATTATGTTTATCTTCGTTTATTGAATAAAAATCTCGAGTGTCAAAGCCGATATCCGAATTCATTTTCTAAAATTGGCGAAAGTGTGACAATTCATTTTGATCAGAAAAGCGTCTTAACCTAATTTACACCTAAATCGCAATGTTCATCAATGAAAGAATTTGCATTTTGAAAACCGAGCTTTTGTAAACATACCCACGCATATAGTGCTGCATATTTTTTGTTGTCAATTCTTGTTTTGTTTCCATCGCCTTTCGAGAGGATCGCCTTTTATTCATGGCAGACTGAGTGGCTGGCGGTGTACACAGAGCGTTCAATCTAAGACGGATTAATCATCTCGAAGAACAGGGAAGACTTAAAAGCCCTTAAAGTGACCGCTGCTAATCGAGCGTAAAAGCCCACTTTACAACGTGGAAGTTAACCTTTTATCCAGAGCCGCGTTGTCTTTCTTCTTCCCGCGAGCTTTTCGTACTCGTTCGACATGTTAAACCAAACTGTACCAGCATCTAGCTTTCCTGCGGAAACTAGTCAAGATTACCCGTCTTGCTCAGAACAAAACACCAAAGAGTATGTAAAAGGCATCAAAGCAGCCGCTTACATCTTAGTGATACTGCTTTCCCTGTTCGGAAATGTTATGGTCGTGCGGGTTGTGCACAAAACCCGGCGAATGCGAACCATCACGAACTATCTTATCGTCAACATGGCTGTTGCCGACCTTTTGACCACTGTTTTCAACATGCTGCCTACAACCTACTGGATACTCCGTGGACTAGATATCTGGGCTGTTGGTGGATGGATAGGAGAGGCTCTTTGCAAACTACTGCCCTTCGCGCAATCACTCACAATCTCGGTTTCGGTTTTCACGCTCTGCGCGATCGCATTCGATCGTTTTTTCGCAATATTCAGACCGTTAAAACGTGTGATTACATTTCGCGTCGCCAAAGGTATCATTTCATCTACATGGTTATCGTCGGTCATCATCTCAGGTCCTCAGCTTTACGTCTCTACAACCACCGGTGAAAAAGGCCTCGCCCATTGCAAAGAAAAATGGGATCCACCGTTTGATGAAAACACAGCTCCTCGAGATTACACCATAGCGCTGTTTGTAATGCTGTATGCCTTGCCTCTGACGCTCATAGCATCTCTGTACACAGTAATTATGTTTAAACTGTGGCGAAGGCAAGCACCTGGCCAAGAACTGTCGTCAAACCAAGAAAATAAGGACAAGACTAACAAGAAAGTCTTAAAGATGTTAGTAACCGTTGTAATCGTTTTTGCATTATCCTGGCTTCCGTTGTACGTCAGAATGTTTGTGATGTTTGCGGAATCGGCTCGTTATGTCTGCGGTCTGCCTTACGATATGGATTTTCTAACTCTATTCCTTGGCCACGCCAACTCTGCTGTGAACCCGTACATTTACGTCATTTTCAACGAGAACTATAGAAGAGGATTCAGGACTGCGCTATCCCGGCGTCGCCGTGGAAGCAGTCGCGAGCTGTCGCGTAGCACAACTCGAAGAACGAAGTCCACAAGACTACAAGAGAAAGAAGCCAACCTATTACACGACGATTCACGACAAAAAAAAGCTGTACTGCGAGCTTTTAAAAGACAAAACTCAGAAATATCATTACCAATGACAACGACAACGGAAAATCTTTAATTGAGGAAAGAAGGAAGGAGGAAATTGACCTAGTAGGAGTAATGATATTGTCGCTATTTTGGAGAGATAGGAAAAGATAGTGGAAAATACGATTAACTCCTAAAAGGAAGATAAGACCTCGTCGAATTCAATATCCGCTTTGTTTTGGAAAAAAAAAAGATTCAATTAATTTTTTGTAAATGTCAACTCATTATTCCAACAGCGATAATAAGTCATTCTCATTTTAATTGCGATAGTTACGTAATGGTAAGAACACTTCCTCCTCGTTGAATGCCAACTTTTTAAATTGATTGATAGATAAACTGTGTCATATTTTGAAATGTTTTTATTCAGAAGTGTAATAAAAATTCAAAGATGAGAAGCACACGTATTAACGCCAAGTGTCTTTCTTCCTTTTTATTTTTTCAGCAGAAGGAAAATGATTTTCAAAGGACTTGTTTTCGCGATTGACAATTTTTTGTCGAGTAAAGAGTTACGTTTGAATGCGTTTTTAACATGTTTCCCTATATTCAAAGATGTTTCTTCTCATTCGTTTACGTTTGCCCCGATATCCTTGCTCGATACCTCCCCAATGTCATTAGCTACTGTCCTTCCCAAGAAAAATCAATAGCGGTGAGATGGTGCATATGTGCAACGCGTGTACTCATCAACGACAAGATAAGATGTGGAAGGAATTCGGACTTAAAGATGTGTTTTTCATCTTTTGTGCGATGAGTTTTTCTTAATATTAGTTTTTATTCAACAGTTGACCACGAATGGCTTTATCTAACACAGCCGAAAAACTGCAGGTCGGAGAATAACAAGAAATTACATAGAGGAATGAATATCAGGTGTAAATGAAGTTGACATTTTAAAAATCATATTCTATAATCTCGAGCTCCTGGATAGTTCAACAAATTTTATTTCCTCTGCACTCCTTTCTTCGACAAACAAAGGAAACCATCTGGTGTTGAGTAAATCTTAACAAATCATTTTTCAGTATCACATAAAAGTGTTGCGAGCTAAAGAAGTGACTCGGAGCGATCATAGTTTGTGAAAGCTTCTGTAACCACAGGCGGCCCAAGCTCCAGCTGTGAGATGATCATCTTGCGCAATAAAAGTCACGGCGGAATTATTGGGTTAGGGTTAGGGTTTATTTACGACCGTTCTATGAAATTATAAAATACGTCAAATTCTCAGTAAAAATACCTCACCTTACTTCCACAACGTATCACTTGTTGTCTGACCGCTTACTTTGATAAAAAGAACCCATTTTAGCGAGTTGTCCATTTCGAGGTTTTCCACGTATATGTACATGTACGTACATGAAGATTCCCAGAAGCAAGCCAGCGGAACGAAAATTCGAGAAGCAGGTCGGTCCGCAAAAACGGACTCTCTAAAAAAGGTATGTATCTATAGCGGAGCTCGCAGAGCGTAGCCCTATAATTATACAAAATAGTAGTAACCCATCAAGCCGAAAAAATTTGGACGTACGACCGTACGACCGCACAAGGTGCTACTTTTAACATGCGTGGTCAACTGTACCGCGGGCACGCCAACGCCATGGCTTTTTCCAGTAGTCCAGTGGTCAGTGCACTGGGCTCCGAGTTGAACGACCCGGGTTATAGTCCTGGCCGGGGCAAGGCGTTGTGTCCTTGAAACGTGCGGGAAAAAAAGATGCGAGCTCCGCTTTTAGGCTTGGCTGAATCTATATATTACAGTTGTTATAAGCTGTATTTGATCTCGCTGTAAACAAGACAGAAACTCGAATTAAATTTGCTCCTTGCGTTACTTTTAGACGATAACAAACGCTTGCCATAGATCGGACCTGTCAGTCCCAACCTTTATTTTCTACGTATTGAAAGACTTTATTTGCCTTCACTGAGACATCCCTGATGCTTGAGCAATTTCTCATCTGCAACAGCTTTCTTATTTCCTCTCGATTTATCTTTTGACCATCTGCATCCAAACTCAAGTCAAGCTTTTTGGAAATTGCATCTCCTTTTGCAATACATGTATTATGAACAACCATGCATGCCAATGTAGTAATGCGGGCATTATCTTGACTGCTTTCATTCTTTCGAAGTAGCACCCTCCACCTACCTACTCTTGAATTGCCCATAAGCACCCTCCGTAAGCATACGGGCTCTGCTTAATTAAACGGTAATTAAAGTTACGTTGCTTTTTTTATTAAAAAAAGAAAAAAAAAAGTTACGTTGCTGGGGTGTCAGAACTGCATTGGTGTATGATTTCATTAAACATGTGCGCAGAGGGAATGCAGAGTCTCCCACTATAGGTGGTGGGACAGTAACATTGCCTACAGTTTTTCCAATTACAGGAATAACGCCTTCTTGGATGCGGGTCCAAAGGTCAGTAGATCTAAATATGACTGCATCGTGAGAATTCCCTGGAAACCCACAGCTGCCCCACACCAATCTCACCGCGCAGAATGGTTTTGTCTCTCGTGACAGGTACTTACAGTGTCCAGTTTATCAACGAGCGGAATATCAATTTGCATGTCTTGAACTTATCGGCTGTGATTAGTCAACGAATTTAGCTTTGGGAATACTTGAGTCGCACTGCAGATTTCAGCTGCTGTCAATC